GATGAAGATAAAATGGCAAAGAAGACCATCGCTAATATTAACATTGGACTATTAGAAAAGTCCAGCAACAAACATCAGGACAACAAGATTTTTAACTCAGTAAGGGAGGCATGTTATTATCAGAATTTATACGGTGGCAAGGTATATTCAATAAGTCATCATGAAGAGGAACTGGTAGAAGATGAAGATGAAAACATAATGAGGGTAAGTAGAGAGACAGGAGATAAATATCATATTCTAAACATATCGGATAGTAAAAAAATAATGAACGGTTTTAGGTATATAAAAGAATTACTTTTACAACATCATAACTTCAAAATGTATGAGACATATGAGACATTGAAAGCAAATGGTGTTAGAGTATATAGTGTAAAATCAGATGCTTTCACCATTCATAGCAATGATGTTGATAAAGTAGCAGGATATACATTTTGTAGAAGACATGTTGAAGGTTGTTTGGATGTGGGTAGTGGTATAGGACAATGGAAGGTAGAAGATAATAAAACTGTAATATTTCCAAAAGATGAGTATAGATATAAATTTAATACTTTAATTGAAATCCCAAAGTTGAAAAATGACAATATCCCTATTGAGGATGAATGGGACACCAAGAGCATATGCGAGAGAATAATTAAAGTCAATGAACCGGTCATTATTAAAGCAAAATACGCAGGCAGTGGCAAGAGTTATATAGGTGAATACTTCGCTCAGATGAATAAAAATGTATTATTTGTTATGCCTAATAATAGGCAACTTCAAGAAAAACTATGTGATGGACTGGAAGCAACAACATTTAACAAATTCTTTTCAATAGCGGTTGATAGTGAGGAAAAAGGCAAGATGCCAAAATTTGATTATGAAATGTTTGATGTGATTGTATTTGATGAAGTCTTCATGGTTAATACATATACTAAAAACAGGATTAGAGTATTTTGTTTAGAAAACCCTGACAAGATTAGAATATTAACAGGTGATACTAAGCAACTACCATGCTTTGAAGACAGCACCAACTGCCAAGATGAAGAAGAATACGCTAATAGGTGTATTGATATAATATGTCCCTATAATATCTACTTGACAATTTGTAAGAGAGTAGGTGAGAAAGACAGCATTGAAGGAGACAAGAACAGAAAAATTATTAGTGATAATTATGATGACTTTTGGGTGTATAAACTGCCTTTGAAAGATATTATCCCGAAATACGTTGAGATTACTAATGATATAATGGCATCAGAACATAACATAGCACACAGGAATATAAGATGCCATAATGTCGCTAATGAGATTAGACAGAGATTAGGAAAGAAAGACAAGTATGAAGTAGGAGAGATATTGATTGCCAGAAAGTGGGTGAGAAATCCAAGGATTAATATGAATATCAGATATGCTATTACAAAAATTGAAGGCAAAAAAATAACACTACAAAACATCAGTATTGACACTGATAGATTTATCATGGATGAAGAGCAGGTAGATGAGATATTTATATACTCGCACTGCGCCACATGCCACAGCACTCAGGGAGCATCAATTAAAGGGACATTGACTATACACGAATGGGACTTAAATTATGTATCCAGAGAGTGGTTATACACCGCCTTGACCCGATGTGTTGATTTTAAGAAGGTAAAATTTTATCAGAATAAACATTTTGATGAACAATGAAGAGATGGAACTGAATATGTATAAGAGATATTTTGAGGGCAAGATTGAAGGATACAAAAAGCAGGACAGGGATAAGAATAGAGAGATTGATGAAGATGACTACATAGATGTTGAATGGTGTTTGAGTAGAATGAATGGGACATGCCAGAAGTGTAATACATGGTTTGACTTCAAGATTAAAAATGGCAGGTTGAATAGTGATTTTACGGCACAGCGGTTAGATAATGAGTTATGCCACAGCAAGAGCAATACTACTCATTTTTGTTGGTATTGTAATTGCAGTAGCAGATAAATTATATAATATAGATTATGTAATTTATCATATATATAAATGAGTGATAGTAAGAAGCAACAAATAATTAATGATATATATTTTGATAGAGCGGGTTTTGGAAGTAAAGCAACAACCCTTAAAGATGCCAAAGAAAAAGACAGTAGCATTAAAATGTCAGATGTTGAAGAGTTTTTTAACAAGAATGTTGAGATAAAGAGGAAACAACAAAGTTGGAACTCCTTCATAGCACCTCACAACAAACATACGTATCAAATAGATTTGACCTTTTTTAGGGGTGAAGATTTTAAGAACAAGCAGAAGTTTTATATGGCATTAACCTGTATAGATGTATTGAGTAAATATGCTGTTGCTATTCCATTGAAAAGTAAAGATGCTCCAAATATAACCGCTGGTGTCATAGAAGCAATACAAAAAATGGGAGGGAAACCCAAATTAATATTTACAGACGACGAAGGTAGTTTGAGAGGTGAGGTGTTTAGAGAGTTTGTTAAGAGTGAAGGAATGGAACTACATAGAACAAGAAGCAAAGCATTTTTTGTAGAGAGATTTAACAGAACAGTCAAGGATATGCTATTTAAAAGGATAGAAGCGGATGAAAAGAAAGGAAAGGAGAATATACAATGGGTTGATTATTTACCACAAGTGCTATTAACATATAATAATAAAAATATTCATTCGGCAACCGGACTAATACCGAATGAGGCAAGGAAGAAAGATAATGAATTCAAAGCAAAAGTCAATGTGGCAATAAAAGCAAAGAAAAACCGTATCTATCCCGAACTGGATGCGGGAGACAGAGTGAAGATTATGAGAAAGAAGAGAACAGGTGAGAAGGAAAAGAGTAGTCATTGGTTGAAAAATGAATATACAGTGGAAGCAATAGCGGAGAAGTTAGGGCAACAATATTACAAATTAAGTGATTATCCAAGACCTTTACTGCGTCATGAACTATTAAAAGTCTAATTTTTCAGTTTAAGACGAAAACTATTTAAAAGAATATTATCTTATATATTAGGGTAATGTCATTTCTAAATTATAAGCACTGTAAAGATTGTAGGTGTCAGTTGAATAATGTTAAGTTTGTATTTTCAACAACATTACCTATGAATGTGTGTAATGATATTGCTGAATACATTGTTTATTGTGATAGATGTAATTTGATAAAAGACCTTGCTTATGAATTTCTTAAAGAAAATGCTGACAAAGGATATTCTAAAATTGAACTACAACTGAAATTCTTTAAAGAGTATGAGCTTAAATATCGTAGAATGTCTCCTATTTATTTCTATTATAAGATTGGTAGGAAACATTTTGAAAAGTCAGTGAATGTGTTTTATGACAATCCGATACTACTTAAACGAGAAGGTGGAGCAAAAAATGTAAAACCAGATAGGAGATTTGTAAAAAGACATCGTGCTTTGTTTGATGAAATTGAAGGGCAAATATGTAATCCCGAAAAGTTAAAAATCATAGTGGAGGAGTGGGATATTTGTAAATACAGTGTAGGGACTTATTACAAAAAAGATTATTACGTAGATAATATTTTATTTACATTTATGAGTAATTACATATTTGCTATGACTGGTGAAGACAACCTTCATTATATCAAGGGTGATTATTCACAAGATGTAATATATGTTTTAGAAGAAAAGTATTTAAAGATATAATATGTTATATATTAGTGAAATGGCAACTGACAAAGATGAAGTTGAATATTGCCCTGTTTGTGATTATACGGTGAAAAAATATAGATTCAAACAACATACAAATTCTAAGGGACATCAATATCTATTAGACATGTGTGAAGCAGGGATAAAGGTAGATAAACCAGATAGAACAACAACTGATAAAGATGGCAAGTTGTTTTGCGGATGTGATGCATGTAGAGAGATTATGCTTAAATGTATGTGGGGATCTCATATAGCATCCAAAAATCATAAAGATTGTAAAGAGGAGAACATGGAGACAAAGACAAAACCTTATGCGTGTAGTGAGAATTGTTATTTACGATTTTTTGACCATTACATTGAATAAGGTTAGAACATAATTTATGATATAAACAAATATCAGAAAGTATGACGAGGTTTAGGGGTTTGTCTGTATTGTGGTCTGTTGTTTTGTTCTTTATGTTGTGCTTTGCTGGGTTTGTTTTTTGTTTGTTGGGTTGTTGTTTGGTTTTGGGTATTGGGTAGTGCATTTTCTATGTAGTGGCAATGACGCAGTTCAGGTTATGTATCATGTTATGGATGGTTGATGGGTTGTTATGATTTATGTTTTATATAGTGAGTTGTTATGATTTTGTTGTATTTTATGTATGAGTTGGGGGGTGGTTCTTAAATGTGGTCAAAAGTGTAGGGGGGGTATAGGGATATGAGGACTGTTGAACTGCGTCATTGCCCTAATGTAAGTATTATCGGAGGGTATTGGAGATTTCACATATCACATAATATAACCCTCCATTTCATATATCACCTTCAAATTTTGGTTATAGTTATGGGCCAATACCATACCCTCCGATAATGTTCCATTGCCACATGCTTTTAATACCCTAAATGGCAATGGACACAATATCATATGATTTATGATATTTAAAAAATAAAGTGAAATCCACTACCAGACCCAGATCATATCATACCCTAATTTTCACCAATGTTGAATTTAGGGTGACTTTTTTTCTGGTTTTCAGCCATCAGGCGGTGATTTTCACCAAGACCTCGAGATCGATTGGGTGATTTTTTTTGCGATATTCGGTGGATGATCAGATTGAAACAATTCCGTGGATCGGATCATATCAGGTCGATTTCAGGTAGATCAATTGTTTTCATGGAAAAACAGAGCGACTGATGGATGATTGTTTCATGGATAACCAATCAGCGAACACAAAGATATAAATCATAGATAAACATAATAAACATAGATAAACATAGATACACATCCATGATTGACTTATACATATTACCATGTTCAGATTACCATGTTCATCTATGTTCATCCTATGTTTCTATGGAAAATCACCCATAAATCGACGATTTCCCCCGAGGTCCTCCTGGGACTTCTACGGTGCCCAAAGCTGGCACAAGGGCGACGTGGCCAAGGCGGAGCCGTTGATCTCCTGGGCAAACCGCACCGGAGTGACCACCATGACGCTTGGACCGGGGAAACCATGGCATCATGGGGAAGCCATGGGGATATGCTGGGGATATGTCATGACATATGGGATATGGGATGTAAATGGGGATATGTCATGGGATGTTTCTTGGGGATATGTTGAACTTGAGATGGGAAAAACTCGGGGAAGGTGTGGTAATGGAAGAATTTAAGCATATGTTTAGGATATCACGGGGATATAATTTGATGTAATCAAGAATTCTGAAGCCAACTGTGTAATGGGTGTTGTTTGAACATGACCATCAAATCGAGGGAGTTAACGAGCAAACGTGGAGGTGTGGTGGGGACATACAATGACTATAAAAGTGCTATTAAATGATAAATTAAATGGGTTGTTTTAAGAAGCAAAGATGTGAATGTACACCGACAATAAAGGGAATATTATAACGGGAATATAATAACCAACTAGATGATACTTGGAAATGACGATTGGATAGTGATGACTCTGCTGTACCAGTTCAAACAAGAGAAGGGGAATATAGCAAACTTAAGATGGTTTGGGTTCGTCTGGAAATGCGGGATACGCCCAAGTTTTGGTAATTTTGACTAGTTTAATGGGAATTTCTGTGATTCACCACCATTGCTACCCGGAGAAGCGGGGCTGCGGGGAACCGTGGGGACAGCTGGAGATGTTGACTGTCAACCTGACCGGCCTAAAAATCGATGTTTGAATTGTGACATTTGGGATGTCAACCTATACAGAAATTGGGATCCATCTGATTTAAGCATCAAAATCAGTGGCACCACTTGCACCAATGAAGTGGCACTGAAGTTGCTGGTCATAGCTGACCAGAGTCGGTTTATGTCGGTTCCTCGCTGACTCACTGGATCAAAGATGAAAAGCAGACTACACTAGGAAAATGTGTTTTGATCCACTCTCACTGTTCCATACTGTGTCGATAGGTTTGACATTGATTTGTGGATACGAGTGGATGCTGTATTGACCCTACTTCTTAGGGGAAGATACACCGATTTGTTCAACACTCAGACCGTGCCAGAGAAAAACCTGCTGGGTGAACGACTTGAAAACTGGGAATAATGGAGCGACATGATCACAGCTAAGGACCTACATCGAGACAGTGAAGCGCTACATTGCCTCTTGGCAACCAAACGGTACCGTCATGTTTCACCTTTTGAATTATTGAGTAACGGATAAAAAGCTACACATATGTACTGTAAGTGAGGATATGCTGCATAGAACATCATAGAACTGGGTCACTAAGCCATACCTGGGCCACTTCAACTGACGTGCCTTGATCCTTCCACCTATCGCGTAGGTTTGCGTGTCCACACCTACCTACAGCCCCTTCACGGAGCAGCAGTTCGACACCTACCTCTTGGAGAGCGAAAACATCACTGGACCTTTTCGATACATTAGCTGCTCGACTGTCGCCATCCCCTCCAGCTTCCAGGGCACTGTGGTCATGGTCCATCTAACCATGGTTTCTTTGGGCGTTAAATATTCCATGTGTTGATGGTGTTTTCGACTTGGAAATGCAGAGGTTCTCTCAGGAGCTAGTGAAGAACCTCTTGTTTCTGCATTTCTTCCGATTCTCAGTGGAGATGTAGCGCAAACAAAACCTACTGATGGTTCTCTCCACCTCATATGTAATTCGCTCATGTTTCATCCGGGATTTCAACTCTGGACCGAAAAAAGCCGGATGTGGTGAAAGCAGCCGCCCCCTTAGAGTGATGGTTTTCGACGGAAGAAATCAACCGTTCGCTGAGGTTATTTGAGAGAGTTTGGACCTCAAGCTTATTTCGTGAACATCCCCAGCATCTTGGACAACGCCAACCGTTGGGAGGATGCCCAAAATTTCACCAGGCTTTTTAGGTCCCCATGGTCCCATTTCGGGTGACCTTCCTGGATCCTGTTCGCTGTGGAGAGGTCATGGGAGATCTGTGAAAAAAATCTGGGGTGAAAGCAGTAAATGGCCATGGTGATGGTAATTGATAATGCTTATTGATAATGATTTTTGTTGGTAATGATAGTAATTCTTAAGATTTCTTTCATTGATAGTTACACTTACTAGCAGTTACTCTCAATTACTATCAGGTATCGTATAATAGTAGTTGATAGTTGATAGTACTTGTAATGGTACTGTAATAGTAATGGTAATGCTAATGCAAACAGTGATAGCCAACAAGAGAGTTGAAACCATGACCATGTTCTCAGGCGTAGTAATAGCAATCTCGAATCGTAATAATTATCAATGATTATCCATGATTCTGTATATTCACAGATTGGCAGTGTTCAAAACCTCCGTCATCCCTTTACACAAGTTGGTTGATAGAGATTCCCAAAATGGATTGTGATATATTGTGATAATAATCTATTGACTAGTATAAATTGCTTTAATCAATCGACAGGGGTTTAGAAGCCACTACTCAAATATTTTTTCCCACCCAAGCAGTGTTTGTAACATTTCTCCTCTCCACTTCACCTTGAAATGGGTTCCTTTGTTCGGCTTGTCCCAGGTAAGTTCGTGGGCGACTTCAATCCAAAGGACTCGACTGGGGCATGATGGGTTCTATACTATACTTCTTATATCTTCTTATATTTCCTTCTTATATCCTTCTATACTTCTTATATCCTTCTTATATCCTTCTTTATCGCATTCTATATACGTTTCTTTGCCTCACACAATGGGGGGATGGTTCATTTGAACCAGGGATGAACTGATCAATTCAGTGGATTCTCTGGAAATCTCATTGTTTTGCCCATCTGATATGTACCCTATTGGTTTTCCACTTCTACCTTTTTCTACCCAAGATGTCTTGAATTGGGGAAAAAGATATTAGAAGATAACTGAAGATACTATTGAGTATATGTGTGTTACCTTTCCAAATCGCCAGTTGGATCCTCAACTTCCAGGACGGTTCCTTACGCTTGTTCCTCTCCTACTCTGCCAACTTTGACTGGAAAAAGTCTGCCCCAAAACCTGCTGGAAGTGGATACCATTGGGCCTTGCAAGAGGTCATTTTGAGAGGCTCCCATCCCATCCCATCGACCGTGGTGTGATCGACAGCTGGACGCTGATTGGGCGATCGGAAGGTTTGGCGAAAATGGCCATGCTGCTCGGGCCGATGGCGGAAAAGGAGCGGTTTTTTTTATCCAGGATTTGTTTGCGTGAATTCTATAGCTCACTGGATGACCTCACAATGAAAATGATGGTCATGGTATATTGATGTTTATTGAGTTTATGGTGTGGGAAAAAACAGGGAATCATCCAAAACTTGCGAACTTTTGGAGGTCAGGAATGACAATTGTATATGAAATATGCCCAGATTTGTCGAACCACCAGATGACCATGTAGTGATGGGTTCACATTTCAGACAGGTTCAGACGCCTCAGCCCACAGATTGGCGGGTCTTTGGGTCACCGTCACTACTTTTCGGAATACAGATGGACTTTGCAGGGGATGTGAACAAGTATAAACCCACAATGTTTGGAAATCTTTGGCATTGAAACAGAAACCATCACCATCTATACTTTTGGGTTTTCGTACCCGGGTTGACACACAGACTTTGGGTTCAGAACGGCTCAATATCAAGGCAGTCAGGCAGATTCACAGCAGTGAGGTCAGTTCTGAAAGGGACATCAACTTGGCTACACCTGGATTTTTGGAATGTTTTCATCATGGGATTTTGAAGATTGATTCCATGATGAAAAAAATGGTACATGTGATCGTTTTGATGGGATTTTCATCTTTTTCACCAAAACAATGCTGGTTTTTGTTGAAAGAATGGGAGAAGCCTTGATTTCACCATTGGTTTACCATTGGTTTCCGCAATGAACATGGCGAATTGGCGCGTGCCATGACGATGTCGCGATTCAGGTGCAAGTGATAACTCGGAGGGCTTGAGGTTGGAGCATGATGCTGAGATAAACATGTAAAAACAATGGATTCGAATGGGATACGTAATATGGATTTGTCCAGCACTAAAGAAAAGACGGAAAACTGCCATTTTCTAATTTGGTAATATGATGATTCGCCAGCGGAGTTTGGGAGTGGCCTACCTCAGACAGACCCGTGTGGGGCAGATTGAAGTTGGGTCAGAGGATTGTGGTCATGTATAATGCGGTCTAAACAATAATAAATCATCCATTTGGGACTGGTTTATACCACCAATTTTATTTATGATGAAAATTGGCTCAAGCTAAATAGATGGTTTACCGTCATTAAAAATTTATGATGGCTAAAATTTGGGACTGGTTTATACCACCTCCATTTGGGGATGGCTTATTGTTTTACCAACATTACCCGGCCTGGTAAACGGGCGTTACATAGCTCTGGAAAATCCACCATCTTCAAGTTCGGTAAATCAACGAACTTTCTATGTGCCATGTTCAGTAGCGAAGTATAACAAATTACCATCTGGTTATGACTAACAGTTTGCCATGGAAAGATCCACCATTTTTAATAGGTAAACCATCTATTTCAATGGGCCATGATCCATAGCCATGTAACAAATTACCAGAGGGTAAGCAAATCATCGAGAAATGGGCCTGTTTCCAAAGCGGACTGTAACAAATGACCAGAGGCTTTTGTAAATCTAGCCCATAATCCAGTGCTGTACCATCGCACCAACTCCAGCGAGATGATCATCCACAGTGAAGTTCGATATATTAATAGTTACCCTCTGGTTATGACTAACATAGCCATGGAAGCCATGGCCAATTGAAATAGATGGTTTAATTACCTATTAAAAATTGTGATTTTCCATGGCAAACTGTTAAATAACCAGATGGTAATAGTTAAATGTAATTATTTGATATATCTATTATATCTACCATAAACCATAGACTTCACCAAGTTGTGTTCGCCAACATCTCGCGATTCCGAACTGGGGCATCACTTTGTACAGTGTTTTTAGCCAGGTGCCACGCAGCCGTTTGGGGGTTGAAGAGACGCGGTGCGGGACGGTGTCCGATGCATTTTGATTTGGCCAGGCCCAAACAGAGCTGGAATTCGATCAGAAAGTCAACAGATTCTCAGGATATATATATATATATATTATATATATTTATATATATAATATATATAATAATATGATATAATATAATATAATAAATATATATATATAATAATATATCTATATATTCAATAACTTTCAACAGATTTATAAACAACCTCCCCAACATTGATTTCTGCACTGCAAACAGATCACTTTTTGGTGTTCGATGTGTTCGTTGAAATCGACCCTTCCAGTCTCAACGGCCAAAATGATGGAGTTCCAATGGGAACAGCGCGGTGGTCGCGTCAAATTGGTGGAAATCGATGGCGTGGTAAGTGTTGGCAAGGACGGGATGAGGTTGAAGTATTCGGTGATGTTTCTAGGTTAAATGGTGAGTAACCAATGGATTTTGGGGGCTGTTTTCAGGAAAAATAAAGCTAACCAAATACGCAGCAGGAGGTTTGGCATCTCTAAGACCCTCCAAGTCGTGTTTTTCCTTTTTCCTGTCAGCTGAGAGTCTCTGGATGTGTCAAACTGACGCCTTCAGTTTCTTGTCAGTAGAAATGTCCAGAATGAATGTGTTGAATAACATTCAACATCTCAGAATGTCGACACAGACGTCAGTCAAAATCTACACGCCGGCGCAGATATCAGTCAACATGTCAGCTTACATGTCATTTGCATGGCAGTGCATTTGAATCACTCGATGTGGGGTGACTTTCTCTGTTTTCCTGCTGCTTTCTACCTGCTGACGTTCTTTGACGACCCTCTGGTACCCTCTGGTTATGTCAAAATAGCTATTGAAAATGACCATTAATAGTGGATTTTCCCATTAAAAATGGTGATTTTCCATAGCTATGTTAGTTCACCAGAGGGTAACTTCACACGGAAAATGGATGAAGAGATGGTCCAGTTCGCCAGTTCGATCATCCCATGTCCCAGTCATCAGATCCACGGACGTGTTGCGATTAGGAGTATTTAAGTAAAAATAGGTTTAAGTTGGTCACATTTATATGATCAACCAAGGATTTTTATGATGGTTACATATATATATATATGTATTAACATTCTATAACATATTTATACCATGTTATATAGCCATATTTAAGGGGGAAAATGACTTCACTTGTGATTCCTGCGGCCACGAAGTTGTCTTGATACAGCAACCTGTTTTGTTGCGACCAAACTTCCATGTCAAGCTCCCAGGATATCTCTGTAGAGCACTTGTTGACAACGCTTAAGAGCCAAGAAGCGCAGGCGCGCCCACCCAGTGTGTTGCCGTCATGGTTGAAACATGAGCCAAAATTGATGACTGGTTGGTGGTTTCAACATTTTTTATTTTCTATAGTATATGGGATAATCCTTCCCATTGACGAACTCATATTTTTCAAGATGGTTAAAACCACCAAAATTGATGAACATTGAAAGTTGGATGTTCTAGAACGGCTACCCTCTGGTAAACTAACATAACTATGGAAAATCACAATTTTTAATGGGTAAATCAACTATAAATGACCATTATCAATAGCTATGTTAGTTTACCAGAGGCTAAATAATGGTCAGCAACTGACGGGGCTTGCCTCAAAATTTTGGAACAGCCATATCTTCGGGCCTTTGGCGATGGATGAACCAAGTTATGAAAGGCGACCGCCTTTCATAGCAACAGTTGTTTTCTTCCCAAAACACCAAAAAAAGGGAATTCTTGGGAAGTAGAGAGAAAAAGCAAATCACCACCATCCGAGGTAAAAGGATATTCTAATCGGCCTTCATAGGGAGTAAAAACATGTCAAAACCTATGGATACTTTGAGGATGTGGGGATGAATCATTCAGAACTGGGCAGGGCTCTGACCCCCATCTAAAAGAAAAAACAGGATTGTGATATTGTCTGGGTGGTGGTTTGGAACAGTTTCTATTTTTCCATGGGAATAATAATCCTAACTGACTAATACTGGTGAATAATTCCTGAGGTAATTCCTGCTAACCAATTAGATCCAATTGGAACAGGGCTAAAAACGCCACCATGGGTCCCAAGGGGTTAAGATAAACTCCCGCAAGGAGTTTGAGCGAAAGCACCAAGAGCGCTGCGCTCTCGAGTGGCGAGGGATGCACCAGTGGTTGTTGTGATCCATGGTACTTGCTACCTATAGCCCATGTACTCCCGTACAAGTGGCAATATGTACATATCTATATATATATTTATATACATATGTAACTGGGGGTAGTTTCACCCTATGCGATGTATGTACATAGATATTTTTGGTGACGGCGCCCATGGAGGGGCGGGACTGTTGTCACTTTTGCACATTGTTTTTTTTTGGGGGGGCGGGGGCGTTTGGGGGAGGTGCAATAGCGTCCTGTGGTCTGCGTTGTCAATAACGATTTCCTGCTACGTTGTAACATCTTCTGTAAGTATCTCGCAAGACGTTCCTGATACGTTGTAACATCTTCGTCAAGTAACTTGCAAGACGTTCCTGATACGTTGTAGCATCTTCGTCAAGTAACTTGCAAGACGTTCCTGATACGTTGTAGCATCTTCGTCAAATAACTTCCAAGACGTTCCTGCTACGCTGTAACATCCTCTGTACGTAACTTGCAAGACGTTCCTGATACGTTGTAATGTCTTCTTCAAGTAACTTGCAAGACGTTCCTGATACGTTGTAGCATCTTCGTCAAATAACTTCCAAGACGTTCCTGCTACGCTGTAACATCCTCTGTACGTAACTTGCAAGACGTTCCTGATACGTTGTAATGTCTTCTTCAAGTAACTTGCAAGACGTTCCTGATACGTTGTAGCATCTTCGTCAAATAACTTCCAAGACGTTCCTGCTACGCTGTAACATCCTCTGTACGTAACTTGCAAGACGTTCCTGATACGTTGTAATGTCTTCTTCAAGTAACTCGCAAGACGTTCCTGATACGTTGTAGTGTCTTCTTCAAGTAGCTTTCAAGACGTTCCTGATACGTTGTAACATCTTCGTCAAGTAACTTGCAAGACGTTCCTGATACGTTGTACTGCTAAGTTATAAAATCTTCTGTAAGTAACTTGCAAGGTGTTCCTGATACGTTGTAGCATTTTCGTCAAGTAACTTGCAAGACGTCCGTGATACGTTGTAACATCTTGGCCAAGTAACTTGCAAGACGTTCCTGATACGTTGCAACAACTTCTTCAAGTAACTTGCAAAAATTGTCCCAAATGGGTCCAAAGGATCACGCGTAGCAGGCACACAGGTCATTGACCGAACATGGGATCATATGAAATCATACATCCAGCGTACTCTCTCTTCAAGGAATTCAATGCAAATGGAACAACAGCTGCCTTGATGAAGCACTGCCTACTATGGCAATGGTTGCACGACATGCTAGCTCCTGGCTGCTCCCTATGGGATCACTTAGGAAAGCTTTGTAAAAAGCACAACAACAGAGTTGGACTATGGCGTCTCGCATGAAGATGAAAAAGAGTGACGATTGTCCACTTTCAGAAACGCTGAAAGCGCCGCACTTCTACAGGCGCCGTAACCATATTTTTCCCCATAGTCCCATATTGCCAACATAGTTAGTGATTGAGACACACTGATATATTTGGTGACAAAGATACTGACATGTTGAAAGACATTTCTGTTGGTAAATCTGGCACATGTCAACTTGCCGTTGTCCTCGCATGGTTTTTGCCTTAGATGCAGACATATACATGTGCGTATAATATACCCTCTGGTTATTTAAAATAGCCATGGAAAATGGCCCATTTATAGATGGTTTACCTATTGAAAATGGTGATTTTCCATGGCTACGTTAGTCATAACCAGATGGTACATATATAGCAACCCCAAAGTAGAAAACTCGGAAGCCTGGAGAGATGAAGTAAATGTATGAAAACATTCATTTATTAGCCATCCTGGTGTTGCAATTTTCAGCATCTTTTTGGGGCGGGTTGCAGTGACGCATTTTAAGGTGAGAATTGTGGCAGCTGCTCAGGAAATCCTAAAATATAGCAAGATTGCTGATGTTTGATGTGGATTTGATATATGTTTGTAAATATTAGTTTTGAATGTTAGTACTCCTAATATTCAATCCAAAAATATTTTGAGTATAGTTTCGAATGTTAGTAATAATCATTTGATACAACGACGAGCTGAATTATTAATCATGTGATACTCATCTGATACAACAATCTCATGTTAGTAATAATATTGATTATGAATGTTATTTGGTGGACGACATCACTGATGCATACTGATACTATCATTCATAACTTGATGTGGAATATCGATGAATACGACCATGCTAGCAGAGCCCCCAATCCGATGTTGAGGAAGTGGGGGAGATGATAGTGGCCATTGCAAACAAAGATTTCAGCTTTGTATAGTAAGTATGTATATCAATATTACCTGGTTGGTGGTTTGGAACATTGTTTATTTTTCCATATATTGGGAATAGTGATCCCAACTGGTTAATATTTGTCATAGGGGTCGAAACCACCAACCAGTTACAGTTGCTTGCCAAGTTTGATGTCTATGATTCTTTTGGTGACTCTAGTTTGAGATTGAGGTGATCTGGGATCTCGTGGTTTTTCTGCTGGTCAAATCACACCTCTGTACGGTGAAAGCTTTCGACTGAAGCCTGGAATTAACCCCGACTTTCGCTTTGTAATCAGCTGAGGACTTCTTTCTTGAGAAAATTCCTCACATCGATCCCAATACATGGGATATACAATAATGATAATGTATATATATATATATATGTATGATATGATATGATATGATATGATATGATATGATATATATATAATATCATATAATTAATAAACTATATAATGATAATCCCTAATGAAACACGGGACTTTGGGATGGTGAACTTGGCCTTGGGGTCGTCCATGTATCCATCAGTGAGATATGTTGCTCAAAAAGAACCTGGTTGGTTTATTCAGTTGATCCCCCGTTTTTGGAGCTATCTCATCTGTCTCATCTGTGCACTTCAGCCAGAAAAACCTCGATGTTGTCCTTCCCCTATGGTAATGAAACGGGTCAATGGAAACTCCCCCTTTAGTTCAATTATTTTCGCGTATACAGTATTGATGCCCATTCAGTTCGGGGATTTTCCAGCTAGGCATGTTTGATGACACCCGGGGGATCCAATTCAATATCCCATTCTCAACCATGATTAATCATTATTAACCAATTGTCAACCATCATTCATCATGATTAACCCAGTATAGTCACTTCTGAATAATCAAAGAACATGTTTGTACTAAAAAAAGTTTAACTCACCTCAGGTGGATGAAGACACAGAAGTTCTTAGAGAGGCACAAGTTTGACTCTGCAGATGTGAATGCCCCCAGGGTCTCATGGTGCTTTGGCACGGCACGTCGGGTCATGGAGGATAGGAGTGAGTTATAGCGCCAACAGACATGCTGCTTACAGGGTCTTCATAGGTGTTGTCAACCAACTAACTTCAGATAAATTGTGATCAACCAACAAACTTGGTGTTTGGAGCTAATTTGGACAGAATCAATAAACATCTTCGGGGGTTGGGTATGGGTGAAACATGTGTACCGAAAACAAATGGGCACACAGTGAACTAGGCTTGCTGGTCAATCTTGATGCGACACTTTTACCTGAATGTATTGGAAATCCGACTCCAAATATATACGTCGCTGAACTAGCCATTTGTTGTCTGATACGTGTTTTGTTTGCTTTCTTGACAGAATTTGGAAGTATAGATTTGGTAGGTGGGATATTGGGGATGTAGACTTCATATTTCAGGAGACTTGGCTTGCGGTTCGATATTCCCACGTAGCTCCCACTGCAATGGGAACCAAGGAGCTATGTAAATCGAAACACCACTGTGACCTCACATGGCAAATGGTTAAGATTGTGGAGACTGTCAATTTCACGGTCTTAGTTCAGGTATATATCGCAGATTCGTTACAAATTGCAGTAGTTACAGACAACCTCTGCTTTGGTACATAGCACGTTTGTTGTAAATATGTGTTTCATCTATATGTTGGAATTTATATTGCTGAATCTGTTTCTTTTGTTCATCCATATCATGATCTTCAACGAATGCTGCATTAACCCCCAAAGTCAGATGCAGAAGTTGGCAAAATCGATAGAAAGCCGATAAAATGGTCACGTGTTGTCCATGTATCGAACTGATTTCGTCTATGTATTCACGGTATTTATATGTTTGATATGTTAATGTACATGTATTACTATGATATATATATATATAATATGTAGATATACTTATGTGTATATATGTGTGTTTATTTGTTACCTTTATATATGTGACCTTTGAAACATGTGTGTGTGTGTATTGGATTGTATGTTCTAGCCCATGATTGTTTGATAGTATTTGGGAATATGTATATTATATATATATTATGTGTGAATATATGTGCTTCCATATGTATCATCTTTAATTCTGTGTGTGTGTGCGAGTGTGTCATATATATATATATACATGCTTTCTGCATTTGACTCTGTATGTATATTCAAATGTATACAGTATTAAAATACATAAACTAATTATTTCACATGCATACGTGTGATTTCATAGGTACATATGGTTCTGTTTCCGATTAAGTACATTCTATTTATAGTAAGATTATGGTTGCATCCTGATTATGAAACCTTACAATCAAGATTGTGACTAATGTTGACTTTGAGTATTATTTCAATATCGTTATCGTGTTCATCATTCGTGTTCCTAAACGTATCATTATCCTGATGATAGGCATTTTCATATGTCAAATGCCAACATATGCTTGCACATATATGTTCGTGCATTACGCATACATGTGTGCGTCATGGTCGTTCACGCGCCGATCGAGGTGGGGTCTCCAACGAACTTACCCACTGCACAAAGCAGTGATGGTACGTGGCTGGACGAAGGGAGCGACCCAGGGTAGAGATCTAAAGGTTGGTGGTTGATTGGGCTTCGTAAATGATGGTGGGACCCCAGTTTATGGCTACCTTAATATATTATAATATATGTCAATTGGGAAAATTAGTAGGGTGTTCAACATTTTTTTGGAACGGGACTTCGGGACAAAGCCATTTGGAGGAGAATCTCTCCCGACATCGGGATGTATCGGCTTCATCTCAGACACGAGAGGGACCGAAACCATCAAGAAGTATTGGGACGATCCGGCTGAATTGAGTGTACCAGTGAACGAGATATATCATGATATATCTTATATTCTTTGCTGGGTGATTTTGGGGAAAAATCAAGGAAATTGTGTGTTCACCATTTAAAACATGTGGATATGTTTTTTAACCGAACAAAGAGAGTTCTAGCATGTTCTAGCCCAGTTCTGTTTGGGCTAAACTCAGCCAATGTTTTTGTGCATCCTGGTTCATGTCACTTGCGTGAGACCGTGAGTTTTCCTGGGTCCAGCTGATTAATTGGCCAAATGGATGGTCGAACATGGAGAAAACGCGGGCGTTCAACCCCATTTGGGATTTGCGGGGTGGCCCATTTTCAGAGGACCCAATCATACCCACTTGCTTTGAAAGTTGAAGAAAACGGTTGTAATTTCTGTTGGCTCTACATGGCTATACAGGCTATACAGGCTATACACCCTAAGAGTTCGTGGAAACCTGGGCGTTTCCAGATCCCAAGTGAAAATGGCCCAGGAAACTGGGAGATGATCGATTTGTTGATGAAGTTTGGGGCAAATCCCCGGCAGCAACTTGGCAATCGTGTGTTTTTTTTTTTAACGGACCAAACAAATAGCTCCGGTGTACGGCAATTTTAGGAGAAAACGTGATGAAGCAGTGGATGAATCCCAACACTGGGCCCCAACAAAAAAGTGCTTGGACGTTGTCGAATGATCCAAAATTCAGGTGGGGTCAGGCGGCAGATTTTGTAGGGACCATGCAACCCAGGCCCATTTCAAAGGCAGGCAAGAAACACAACCTGGCCTATGATGCGATGCTTACAGGCAGGGATTGTTCTTTCACTGTCCCAAGTCCAACACTTTCTGTTGTCCAATGGGTTGGATGTGCCCAGGGTGTAACATCTATATTACTGCCCAGTTACCCTCTGGTAAACTAACATAACTATGGAAAATCAACATTTTTCATGGGAAAATCAACCATTTCTATGGGCATGTTCAATAGCGAACTGTTAAATTACCAGAGGGTGTGTATATTATTTCAGTCATCAGCCACTTCCTACTTGGGATCAAGTATCGAAACCCACCAGATTCCACGCACCTTGGCGTTCACCCTGCTGGGTCCTAGGAAATACAGCCATGGACGAGTTCCGGCTGATTATTTCAATGGCCACGTTCACTAGAGCCGCGAGATCGCGCGAGATTTGGGTTCAACATCCAGGTGTCCGGCACTCACTAAGGGTGCTTCGCAACGTGCAGTGCCCGTCAGAATTGGGGGAGGATGAGGCCCAAGGCATGGAACATTTGAACCCCAAAATGTCAACCGATGATCATCGTTCTGTTCCCAATTCACTGGCCATTATTACGGGATTATACCATATTCTGACATGTTATACAGATACTGTATACCCCAGTCTCAGACACTCACGCTGGTTACTATCCCGATCTAAGCACATTCATACCCAGTCTCGATGATTCATATACCAATTCTCAGTGGTGGCCAAAATTTACCAGTAAGAATCGTTGATGTAGTCTAATCTATATATATAAGTACAACCGCATTGTACATGATGATTGTCACTTACTGTTATATATATAATAATATAATATATATATATATTTAGGTCATATTGCACAGCTATAATCCTCATAGTCGCTTAAAAATTCTTCATATGCCTCCATAACAAATGGCCGAAGTGGCGCAAAGGTGGTGGCCCTGCAATTCACACAGCGAAAAAGACATAGGTATAGATATTCATCGATGTAATATATACACATTTATATACATCTATGCACATAGATATGACATTATATATATATATATACATTTACTATGTTATGTGTATTTTATTATAATAGATATGCAATGTATATTATATTGTATTGTATTTTATTATCTTATATGTATACTATAGTATGTTTATCTTATGTTTATATTACATAAAATTTTATTGTATTATATATCTTATATATTATGATTAATTATAGATTATATCATGTGTGAATTATACAGTATATTATACTTTCTATTTTCGTATGTTATATGGTTATATCATATCATATCATATCACATTATATTATATGTATGCGAATGTGGACATAGGCAGTACTAGAACATATGTGCCTGGAACTCGTTGCGTTAAAAACGTGATTTTTCGTTTCAAACCTGCGCAGTAGTACCAGGTGTTTTGTGGGCCATGCTCCATTCTTATGGGCATAGAATTGGATGATGGGAAAATTTTAACCGGAAAACCCGATCAATTTGATGGTAAAAACCATGGTTTCCGGTTAAGATTTTCCCAACAAAACCAATCCATTGATATGGGCAATGCATGTCATTCCCTCAATTTGTCATTTGTCATCTCGAGTCGGACTTCGTAACTTTTTGCGGAAATTGTTGTCCCTTCTCCATTTAAGTAATATGATAAATTATTCCATGGCGCCGGTTTTTTTTTTGATGATTTTCCATAGATGTTCCACGAAGATTCAATTGTCCATAGATTTTCCATAGATTTTCCATAGACTGTCTTTTATAATAACCCGCTCTTGTTGATGGTAAACTCCCGTGTTAGTTGATGTTTTTTGCCCACAGAAAGACGCGTTCGCCCTTCGGCGTTCTGTGGTCACATACATGTTTCTATATATATATACACTATATATATATATACAATATACAATATATATATATATACATACACAATATACATGTATATATACATATACATATACATACATAATCACAGATATATGTATATATGTAATCATGCATACTTCTACCCATCTATACATATTCATGTACGCCATACATGTAGATTACACACAGAATGTAGGCTGACGGTTTGGTGATAGGTCGACCCTTCAGTTGCGAACGCTGCGTGGTGAATTTTGGATGACTAACTAAGAGACATTGCTATTGAACTAATAAGAATGGGATGTGTATTGTATATTATATATACATTTACATACAGTATATATTATGACTTGTTTGTGTCTGAAAATGAATGAACACGAGGTATACCTTGAAAAATGTTGAGTAACCACTGGCATTGGGAATATTTTCAGACAAACCAAATATGGGGAAACGAAGGAATACAATTTTTGGTGAAATGGGATATGTATGGATATGCTAAAATACTGTCTGAAAAGCCATATGCTTTCAGCTCATGAGGACGAGCAGGAACGCATCAATGGCACACGTACAGTATCCTCCTCCGACGAGTGAACGGCGGACCAGATGTTTGCTGAACTCCTAATTTAATTCTAATTTATCTATATAATTAGTCCTACTGCCATGCACGACCACTGAAGCTGAGAAGTGGGAGTGGCATGTCCAGGCTGTGGTGTTTTGCCAGAGCGATGACGTGTATTTCGCTGGCACAGTGGTTTGGCCGTGCCATTCCACGTGTTTCCACGTCATCCTCCATCCCTTCAGGTGGTCGCATCCAGTCTGGGGGGAACAAGTTTTTGCAGTGGAAAAGACACTAGATACTGTGGATGGATGTGGATGGAAGAAATCCTGCACCAGTTGGTAGATGGTTTATCCCCCTACAATCCCGCTATTTACAGCGTTTCATACTAGCCACCTACTCTCCTGGATACGTCAATTGGATTCAAACAACGTAATGTGGTAAACATGATTTTTCAAGATTTGTGGACTAGTATCAGTATCCAGAATCCCAAGTAGGGGTACACCCAACAATGAACCACAAATTTCGGACAGTTAATTCAATGGCCATTTCAGGTACCTCAAATCGAAGTACATACAATGTATAAGGCCTATGTAAGGGGATTTGTCCCCAAAATACAGTCAAAACTATGGTACAGATTGGCACACAGTTTCATTTTAGGGATCTGAAATTCCAACTGATTAATTAGTTGTCATTGCGGATTGCCTGTTGCTGTCAAGTCGTAGGAAACATCACCCGGCCTCGCCCCTGCCCAATCTCTCGTGCGGCTGGCATCGAATTCTAGGGGGCCCGATGTCGAAAAATTGGACCGTGAGCTGAGTTTAGTCGGATCATAAGCCCTTGGACAACTGTAACCCAGGCCATGTTTAAAGCTAGCAGCCAATCCCACAAAAAGTGCTTCCTGCAAGCACAAACCAAGGGGCCACAGGTCTGATGAGGCAGAAACTTGACACCTCTTAGATTCAATGAACCGCACGGCTTTTACCCTCCAAAGCAGGCAATGGAAAATAAACATGTTTAAACCTGTTCAAAAGAAGAAATGTTTAATTATCATATGTACCAGGACCAGGGTTACTGTTTGGATCCTGCCTGTCTTTGGGTTCTGTTGGATGTCACCTAGACCATACAGGGCGGTGCCGGTACACTTCAGGCAGATGCTTGGTTTTATTTGTGCCCGGTTCTTTCAGTAAGATCATGGAGTGAACCACAGATTGGTTAGTTGTTTGCAGTGAGATATAGTGAGATATAGTGAGATACAGTGAGATATTGTTGCATACAAACTTGGGGACATACTGCTGGTTCGGTCCCTAATTGTGGCTAGTGGTTTTTCATGGTTTTCTTCATGGTTTTGCGTTTCAACCAGCCTTAGATGAGTAAGGTGAGAAGTGTTGAATGAGTTGAGTGGTTCGCCTTGGCTGCTACATTTCCATTGGGCCCTGTCCAGCATGCATCCGACATCTGAATTCCCGAGAGCAGTGAGATTGTGATGATCTTCGACCAGTTGAGGAAGCCACTATGGAAGGCACAGAGTGCCGCAAAACCCTTCATAGTTCACTGCTACAAAGGAGGTTCTACTTGATGTCTTAGGGATTCTGGGATGTCATGATGGGAGGCCGAATTTCTGTAAGGAGTAAAGAGTAAGTTTCACCAAGCTTTTAGCCACTGAACATGCAGGTTCGGTAGCAGCTGAGGGTTATTTTGATGTTTGACTTCAAGTTTAAGGCTGCACGTTGGCCAAGTGATCCAAATAAGCAGCCAGGATAGTTTGGGGCTGGTGGCTTTCAACATTTTTCAACTACCAGAGGAAGAGTTGTTGGTACTTTCAAGTGTCCTCTGCATGTCACATGGATGTTGGGATAAATTGATTCCTCCTAATATTAGACGATACCCACACAGACACCAGGTTTCGTATTGGAGTTGTTCCTTTGCTGGCCCGGTATTTGACATTTGGGAGCCGGTGATAATCATGATGATATATGACCGCCCTTGTGATTCAGCAGTCCAGACCTTGTTGAAATTGGGATATGAACATCAAACTTGTATGCCATTGTATGCCATACTGATACTCATACAGTATGGTGTAGTTTGATCTAGTTTGTATAGGTTTGTATACTATACTCGGCACTGTGATTATGATGCTGAGGTGTTCAAAAAATCAGGATATAGATGAATATAGCATGATATAACCCATTTAATTTACAAAGCACATCAATACTCTCATCCCATTTGTCAACCCCCTGGTGGCGTCCAACTTGGCGTTAGCATGAGCTGCGGGTCTCCAGGACCCAGGCAATCCAGGCATTCTCGCCTGCTTTCGTGCGGCTGGCACCTAGTAGGACAGGCGTTTGAACTATGGAAAGAAAGCCAAAAGAAGTCACAAGGATGTCCAAACATGGGGATGTTGGTCTCTGAATGGAGGATATCCATGATATTTTGAGAGATCTGAGATGACGAACGAGTAAAAACTGTGTAGATTCCCTATTTTCAGACCCAGGGTGAAACTCTTGCCCCAAAAACCCGCTGAGTTTGGTCATCCAAAGGATTTTGTGGGCCATCCCTTGTTTGAACGACAATATGTAACCCAGGCCATGTCAAAACACTCGGCGCCGGTGAACCGGCCTATTGGAATTTCATCATTTCAACCAGGGGCGGACATGCATGTAAATGTGCACCCTCTCAAGGTTTCATGATTCATGGCTTTGGTTGGTTTTTTGTGCCAAATGTGTAAAACGCAAGACTTTTGTGTGATTTTGTGTCAATCAATTCCAATGCGGTTTTCATAACGCAGCCTGCTGCGGCAATTTTTTTTGCTCATTCAGAGGGATCATCCACCGTCACGGCACAGCGATTATTCAAGTGCATCATACAATATACAGGTGTGCGGTGCCGGTAAGTGTTAAACTGCTTCGTTGTTACCGTTTGGGCAGATGTTTGGTTTTATTTGTGCCTGGTTCTTTCCGTAAGATCATGGAGTGAACCACAGATTGGTTAGTTGTTTGCAGTGAGATATAGTGAGATATAGTGAGATACAGTGAGATATTGTTGCATACAAACTTGGGGACATACTGCTGGTTCGGTCCCTAATTGTGGCTAGTGGTTTTTCATGGTTTTCTTC